AGTACAATAACAAATCCAGAATCGTATAGGGTGTAACGTGTTTTGCAAAAATCTCATACTAGACATACCCCCACCCCTTACAAAAACATTTTACCAGTAAAAAATAAATGTACACCCAAAGTAGAAAGAATGACGATATTACACGCTATTTATAACCTCTGATCCAGGTTCAGTTTTCCGAAACAAATATCTATTCGGTTAATCACACGCTTCACATACCAAACACCATTTTTTTTAAACATTGTACCACAGGTAACAGGTAATAGAAAAATCTTGTTTTCATATAGTGTAGGTAAATATTTATCAAACTGATAACGAACTTACTTCGGAAATCGAAAACATTCCTGATAGATAACTAAGTGTGTTTTCTGTTTTCATATATTCAGTGAAAAATATGTATAAAATTTAAAATTTAAAAAAAAAAGGTTTTGTACAACCTAAAACCACAATATAGTTGATTTAATATTTTTTTTTTGTTAGTTTTTTTTTTTTTTTTTTTTTTTTTTTTTTTTTTTTTTTTTTTTTTTTGTATTTGAGTAAGAATTATGAATATAATCTGGGTAAGGCTAGGTTTAGAGTAAAAATGTGGTTTGCTGACGCAATACACGGGTGGGGGGGGGGGGATAGCTTGTATTACACCATGCTGTCTGCTTTACAAGCTCAGAAATTGTAGCTCATAGGCCCCAGACGTGAAGGAACGATGCAGACGCAGGTCGACCAATATGTTCAAAGGTCTGTTTGAGTTCATTGCTTTAAATCATGTCAAGACAACAACAAAAATGTATTCAATTCTCATTCCTATAAACACGTCGTTTCTTTGAGCTAAACATAGACATGCTTGGCTTTTGTTTATCATGTAAAGTGCAAGGCTTTTGTTATTATACAGATATTATGCAGACATGTATGTTATAGGTATATTAAATGTCAGTCCATGTAATTTATATATTATTAATATAGACAGGTAGATAGATAGATAGATAGATAGATAGATAGATAGATAGATAGATAGATAGATAGATAGATAGATAGATAGATAGATAGATAGATAGATAGATAGATAGATAGATAGATAGATAGATAGATAGATAGATAGATAGATAGATAGATAGATAGATAGATAGATAGATAGATAGATAGATAGATAGATAGATAGATAGATAGATAGATAGATAGATAGATAGATAGATAGATAGATAGATAGATAGATAGATAGATAGATAGATAGATAGATAGATAGATAGATAGATAGATAGATAGATAGATAGATAGATAGATAGATAGATAGATGGATGGATGGATGGATGGATGGATGGATGGATGGATGGGTGGGTGGGTGGTGGGTGGGTGGGTGGTGGGTGGGTGGGTGGGTGGGTGGGTGTGTGGATATGTAGTAAGGTAGGTAGGCAGGCATATCTATATGCAAGTAAACCACATCCATGTATATTATTTATGTTGCAGTGCTACAGGGCCACTAAGTGTACATTCACTTGAAACCGTCAACTTTTAACTAGTCAGCAGAAGTTAACCCTGAAACATCAACACAAATATTTCAAACAAAAACATTTTCAACACACTTGTAGCTGTTCAGCTTCTGACACGCGTTTGTTCATTAAAGATTATTTATTGTTATAATGATTCTTAAGTAGGACATCGTTTCTAAGACCGTTTTTTTTATTTATTTTCTTTTACGTTTTAAAAAAATAAAATACCGATGAAGTGCCCTGGTTCTCTTAGCAACGATAAAAGCAAAAGCTATAATTCATTTTTAAACATTTTAAGAAAGGTCTAAAATTGTTGTTTGTTTTTTAAGTAGAAAAAAACAAACTAAAATTGTGCCCCGTAAATTTGTAAGTGAAAACTCTCTGCAGTTTTATCTACCTCTTATATCGATTAAAAATAAATAAATAGTAACAAACTCGTGTTGGTTACGTACAATTAAGGACGTCAGTTAGTGGTGTTACCTGTTTGGATTTCATCCTGTGATATCCACTAATTGACCTGTTCAATTGCCATCCTGTGATATCCACAAAATGACCTGTTTAATTGCCATCCTGTGATATCCACAAAATGATAAGCTTGGGTGCAATGTTGTGATATCCACGACTCACCTCTCTTTTGCCGTTATTGATGTTAAGTGCTCACAGACTTTAGCATAATAATGCAGTCATTAGTTTTGGTAACCATACAAATATATTGTGATCGACCAGCTACACTCTACCTTTGATGATACATACACTGTATATTTTGTATTTGTATTAGCTGCACTTTAAGTCCTGAGATAAAAGGGATTTGAACCCAATGGTCGAATGGTAGAGCGTTCATCTGCTAGCCTGTATGGATCTCGGTCCGGACTCCAGACTTTATGACATCCCGGAGTCAACTCAGCTCTGACCCATGTTTGGGAAAGTAAATACGGCTGGGCATAGTGCCGACCACATCATTCCTTCATACGCCGAGGTCAAGAAACGTATGAACTCTACTTCATCTTCCCCATGAATCGTAAATCTGAAAGGGGAAATTAACATTTTCCTTTACTGTACTTGAGTTTGATCTTCAAGTACTACATCCGACCTCTCTGGGAAATATTTTTTTAAATAAAAAAAAAGCATCGTAGATACATAAAGTGTACATCAGATGTGAGAAAGCTTTTTAGAATGTCGCAGTTAAACTTTAAAATCCAGCAAAGGAAATGAAAACGTGTTTATTGAGTGTTAAAATTTGTGTGCGCTATAATACACGTAACTTACTTTACACGCTTCGGTTTTTCCAGTTTGGTTTTTATATCTTTCAAAAGTATGTACGAATTCTTTTATTGAGCTGTATTGACATAAAATGTAAGTTAAACTTCTCATCAAAGAAATTCAAAACCCACTTTTGTTGTTGGAAATGTTTCCAAATATAAAAACTTTGGAAATATAAAGCTACCCCTACTGAAGAAACAGAAAAAAAATTGACAACATATGTTTCTTAATTTTACTTTGGCTAGCGATGAATGAAGTGCTAAATTCTAACTGACACTTTCGTTTGTTTTATGATGTGTTCTTATTTATCTTGGCACGCTGCGAGAGTTAGACTAACCTTACACAGAAATTGTTTCGATTCGAAGGTCACTGTGACATGGCCACTTAATAATAGCTCTCTTGTACCTGTACAAGTTTGTCTAATTATTGAACACTATTGCAGCATCTTAATCCACCTCAGCATAGTTAGGGACTTTTGTTATATTAAATATAATATTATATACAATGTTATATCTTTGTAAGTTATCGTTTCGAACCTGGCGGTCCAGAGGCGTAGTGACCCTTCCCGGCGCCCGGGGACAAACTTTTCGATTTGCACCCCCCCCCCCCTCAAGATTTCGATTTGCACCCCCCCCCCCCTCAAACTTTCGATTTGCACCCCCCTCAAACTTTCGATTTGCACCCCCCCTCAACCTTTCAATTTATTTTTCTCACCCATATGTCCCGCCCCCCCCCCCCCCCCTCGCTACGCTACTGTGGCGGTCCATGTTCCAGATGAGGTATGGATCACCAGTTTCTGTGTTCTCGGCGTATGGAGTGATGGTGTAGTCAGCAATATGCCCAGCCGCCTTTATTTTAAGTGAGTCAGGTACCCAACAGGACTTGGTGATCTCAAGAACTTCCTAGTGACTCAGCTAACCTGATAGAAGGCTGGATACCAGATGTAAAGAGCAACACAAGAAATATATGTTTTAAAGACTTTGTATGTCTGTATGGTCGATGATATTTGTATATGGCTGATGAATATCTGTATGCTTGATGCTGTTTTTATGCTTGTTGGTATGCTTGTATGTTGATGTTGTGTTTGTATGTTGGTTGCTATGTTTGTACGTTGGTTGCTATGTTTGTTTTTATGCTGGTTGCTATGTTAGTACTCTGTTTGCTATGTTTGTATGTTGGTTGCTATGTTTGTATGCTGGTTGCTATGTTTGTTTTTATGCTGGTTGCTATGTTAGTACTCTGTTTGCTATGTTTGTATGTTGGTTGCTATATTTGTATGCTGGTTGCTATATTTGTATGCTGGTTGCTATATTTGTATGCTGGTTGCTATATTTGTATGCTGGTAGCTATATTTGTATGCTGGTTGCTATATTTGTATGCTGGTTGCTATATTTGTATGCTGGTTGCTATATTTGTATGCTGGTAGCTATATTTGTATGCTGGTTGCTATATTTGTATGCTGGTTGCTATGTTTGTATGTTGTTTGCTATGTTCGTATTAAACAAGCCGGAGTCATGAGTCTAAGCCGGAGTCAATCATGGAGTCACTACCCCTCCTGCTAATATCCTTCTTCGCAATTGATCTCGAATCACCAACAAAAGGAAGTAGCTTTTGTTTCAACTTTTCTGTTTTCATACCCGAGGCTCCCCTAGCATTGTACGAGTACAGAAAACTAGAAACAATAGCTGAACATGAAAGGCCATCGATTAGACATCGTCATTGATCGAAGGTCATCGATGAAATCATGATGAGTAATCTAGTGTTTCCGTGACGCGGGTTGTCGCCCTTTAATTACACATTAAATTAATTTATTGCTTCCACTTGATGGACGGGTTTCTAATTAGGTTTTCAACTTTAAAAAAAAAAATAATAATGATTTATTGATGCACGGTTGCTATGGCTACCTGAGAAGCTGTTACTGCGGAAATGTGTTTGCCGCTGGGGAATGAAAAGAAAGGGTGGGGGGGGGTAAGTCTTGCGTATACTGGTGCTATGAATATTACCATACACCACCACACTGTTGGTACAAAAGGAAACATTGGTCAGCACATTCAGCGATTCCGGTAACACTAACAAAACTCTTCACCGCACTACCATAGAACAAGAGATAATTCTAACCTTAAAACAATATGGTGTGAGCTAAAATATTGTGAAAAGTTTTGTTAAATCATAAATAAAAAATAAATCTTATATTACGTTGTTGTTTTTTTATACAAATATAAATTTTAAAAATATTACAGTAACACATTTTAGCACGATGCAGGAATTTTTAATTGCTAAAAAACCATAGGCAACTTATTCCTGATGGCTGTCCACACGTCTGAAAGAAACGACAACACTTTGCATTTTTATGGCCTTTTCTGGTCAATACACATCGGGCACTGATTAGTGACGTAATGGTCCAATCAGGGGCAAGATACACCTTTCTCCGTGATGGAGCCCCAATAGTAGGCCCACGTGTTTTTCAATGATCCCCAGCAATTCACAGTTCTTCTGCTTCAATGAGCAAGTGACGAAATCCCGGGCGTTTTTGCACATGCGCGTCAAGTCGAAAAGGCGGAAGATGGATTTTGAGATGAACTCGCTCGCGCATTTTTTCAGCCCTTCCATGCAGTCTGGCTTTTCGTAACCGTCATCGTGTTTTGACTCGTGTTTTGACTTGTATTTTGACTCGTGTTTGGAATCGTATTCTGGTTCGTCACTAGGCTCGTATTTTGACTCGTATTTGGGCTCGTGTTTTGACTCGTATTTTCGCTCGTATTTTGGCTCGTATTTTGGCTCATCACTAGGCTCGTATTTTAAATCGTATTTTGGCTCGTAACTAGGCTCATGTTTGGGCGCATAACTTGGCTGGTATTTTGGCTCATAACTGGGCTCGTATTTTGGCTCATAACTGGGCTGGTATTTTGGCTCGTAACTGGGCTCGTATTTTGGCTCATAACTGGGCTCGTATTTTGGCTCATAACTGGGCTCGTATTTTGGCTCATAACTGGGCTCGTATTTCGGCTCATAACTGGGCTGGGATTTTGGCTCATAACTGGGCTGGGATTTTGGCTCATAACTGGGCTGGTATTTTGGCTCATAACTGGGCTGGTATTTTGGCTCATAACTGGGCTGGTATTTTGGCGCATAACTGGGCTCGTATTTCGGCGCATAACTGGGCTGGGATTTTGGCGCATAACTAGGCTGGTATGTTGGCTCATAACTGGGCTGGTATTTAGGCTCATAACTGGGCTGGGATTTTGGCGCGTAACTAGTCTGGGATTTTGGCGCATAACTGGGCTGGTATTTTGGTTCGGCTTTGGGCTCGTATTTTGGCGGAGGTGTGGTCTCGTAAACGTCTTTAACGTGCCCGTATTCCGGATACTCTTGAGCGTGGACTACAGCTGTTAGCATTAAGGTCGCCATGACTGCGGAGAACATCCAAGAGTTCATTTTTCTGTATAGAAAAATTTCGAAACGCCGATTAAAAACTTGAAATGTTGTGTGTTGAGCAGATTCATGTTAAAATAATGTGTAAGGATAAAGTTTAGCATATTCCATTCGTAGAATAATGTTTCATTGTTTGCGTATATATTATCAATCCAAACAAAACCATAAAATAAACACTAACTCTTAAGTATAAATTGATTCCGAGTGTCATTATAGATACCCTTAACGTAAACTTCCCTTTCAAAACCTGAAGGTCTAAGGGACAAGTGAAGTAGAGTTCACCTGTTTCTGTGACCTCGGCATTTGAAGGGTTATTGTGGTCAGCACTATGACCAGCCGCCTTTACTTACCCTAACGTGAGTTAGGTACCCATCAGAGCTGGGTGGACTCAGGGGTGGTCTACTGACTTGAACCCGGATTCGAACTCGAGATTTAGAGTTAGCAGTCTAGCTCTCTAGATACACTTAACGCTAAGTTAAAACGTTCCCTAAGCACAATCTAGGTATCACATTCCTGGTAAGCCACTAAGCTACATGTTGTACTTGTACTACGCTATAGTTCATCCACTAAGCTATATATATAGTACTGCACTAAGCTATATATAGTACTTGTGTAAAGTAGGATATAGAAGAAGCACTACGTTACATATATTTCCTGCACTAAGCTAGAAATAGTTCCTGTACTAAGCTAGAAATAGTGCCTGCAATAATTTATATAGTACCTGCACGAGGCTAATATAGTACTGTAGTAAGATAGATAAGTAACTACACCAAGTTAGATAAGTACCGACAGTAAGCTAGATATAGTACTTGCACTATGCTAGATACGTAACTGTACTAATTGAGACATAATGCACTAAGGTAGAGAAAGTACCTGCACTAAAGTAGAGAGTACCTTTGGCCTTTAAGTCCCTGCAAGCTTGTCGTTTCTTTCCAAACGTGATCTAGAACAGCACCTTTTATACCACCTTGAGATCCTGTGGTAAAAACTGCTTGAACTTCGTAATTAGATCTATAAGTTAGCGGTTCTAAAATATTTTTAAAAACACAACCTCGTATAGTATTTTAATGACGATGCTAGAAAACATTCATAGGAGCTTTTTTTTTTTTTTTTTTTGGGGGGGGGGGGGGGGTAGCCTCTGAGATGTTATTTACAGCGTCGGTTTGCCTTGCTTTAGAATTACATTTTTCTTCATCGTCTTGTGTCGACTGGTACAGGTTTTACACGAATAAGACTTATAAATTTCCTTATTATTTACAGTGATAGTTAAAAAATACGTTGTTATCCTTCTATTAAAATAATAATTTTTTTTACTGGAGTCTAGATTATTTGTGATTATAGAAACAATTATACTATAAGCAAAATATGGATTGAGTAAGCTCCCTTTAATCAGCTCTAAAATATATTAAGTAACAAATGAAATGTATTTTTTTACATTCAGATTAGAGATAGAGATGTCACTTTAGTAAGGTTATGCTTACACACATTTGAACACATACACGTACATATCAACACACACATATATATATATATATATATATATATATATATATATATATATATATATATATATATATATATAAAACACTTGAATCGTTAACACTTCACATTTTTAGAACTATCGAAAGCGACGAGCATTTACTTTTAATCCATCCAATGTTTAAAAGATCTTTTTCCCTCCGATCATCCCATGGTGTCTGTGCGAGGACCTCTATCTTTGTTATCATCGAACTTACTTCAAAGGGACTCTTTGTAATTTATTGCTAATCATATTCATAAGCCGATGATGTGAAACGCCGAATAATTACGAGAAAAACTAGCAGCATCCAGGTCAAAAAAAAACATCAGGCAAGTTCACGAGTTCTGAAACAATTCACTTTTTTTTATGTTTTTAATTTAACTCTTTATTTATTTCTGACCACTGACTGAAGCTTTGACGTTTAGCTGTTTAATTCAGTGGCGTAGGCAGGGGGGGTTAGGGGGGTCATAACCCCCCCCCATAGACCCCTCGGTATATTATAGAAAAAGTATGTAGGGGGGTGCAAATCGAAAGTTTGAGGGGGGGGGGGGTGGAAATCGAAAGTTTGAAGGGGGGGGGGGGGGGGGGGGGTGCAAATCGAAAGTTTGTCCCCGGGAAAAAATTGGAACCCCCCCCCCCCCTTGAGACGATCCTGGCTACGCCACTGGTTTAATTGTTTTATTTTCTACTTTTCAGTAATTCATAATTCACTCCCCCATGCTTCGACTGAAAATATTTTGCTTTAAAACACTATCAGTGGCTGGTAAAGACGATTATCCTCACCCTCACTCTCCCACCCCCACCCCTCCCGCGAACTCCGTGAAAGCAGCCGTCTGTGACGACAGTTTACAGACGACAATGAATAGTTATGGCAGAAATTGTTATTACCTCCCCTTTTTAAATCTAAATTATCTGCCCCTACCCCTAATAGCCGACCCTGCTCTACGATTGTAAACATTCGGGGTGAACCACAGCTCACCTGACAGGTGGGGAATATTTGAATAATAAATTATCTGCCCCTAATAGCCGTCACTAACCCGGCTCTACGATTGTAAACATTCGGGGTGAACCACAGCTCACCTGACAGGTGGGGATGAGGCTGGTGGCTAAGCTGCGTGGTGTTTTCTATGGTCTCTGTGAAGAGAATTATATATATAGATAGAAGATATAGATGTCGTACATTTTCTTTTTACAAAAATTTCTTAAAGTTCATTTATTTATGTTGTGGTGAGTTGGTCGGTCATAGTTCTCGAGACAAAACACAGTTTACGTTTATTTTCCAAAAAAAAAATCACTTTGTCGAAACTGTCAAAGTTGATTGCTATTCCTGGCAAGAATATTCCTACATAATCAATACACTAGCAACATGGCAGAGACAAAACAAAAATACGGGGTTGTGTCTTTTTTATATAAATATATTTTAAAAATAAATCACACAGCTAAGAAAAAAAAAACAATGTACATGTTTCTGTACTTTTCTTGAAACATAGGATGTCTTTTTTAATTTATATATATTATGTATATATATATATATATATATATATATATATATATATATATATATAAATGTGTGTGTATGTATATATATATATATATATATATATATATATATATATATATATATATATATATATATATGGAATTAGTATGATTAGCTTGAAAATAGCGTGCATATTCGATAATGCTGTTGCACGTAAAGTTAGTTGTTGTTTTTTTAATTACGATTATGAAACCTGTTATTTTAAAGCACTGAGATATAACGAGCCTAATAAACACAGTCTCACAGGTGCAGCCCATAGTACGAGAAATTAAATTTATTTTTAGCTCTGAGTACTTTCAGTGCACTGAGGTGAATGCAAGAAATGTTAGAGAGAGAGAGAGAATTATTTCCCTACATGCCCTTATACACCGTTGGTCGAATTTTAAAATGATAATCCTTTAAGCTACATCAATAGTGAAATCGACCTACCTAAGTAAAGTATAAAATACAACGAATGGAATGCTAATTCAGATTTGTTTGAAAACTTGCGCTAAATTTTTTTTTCTAGAAATAGTTTAAGAGTGGTCTCCCTTTTACCTACTGTTAAGTGCGAGTCTTCGCGACCCGAGTTTTTATTTTCATGACTGGTCTATTTTTAGTTCCGGTAACTGTGAAGAAAATCTCTCGGCCTTTAATCTCCCTTGATTGTATTCGCTGATAACTCTACCTCTGGTTTATCTGTACCTGGTTTCAACGAAATGTAAAATAATATAATCAGATTACATCTACGCAGGGGAAACGACTGTATACAATGTATTTTTTTTGTAAAATAGAGTGAATGCCCTTATGTTTTGATGAAACTGATACATATTTTGTGTATTGGAAACTACCTGCGCTTAAGATTAAGAATGTTAGAGTCACACTACAAGGTGTACATTTTTTTTAAAGGAATGTCTAAGTCACTTTAATTTTGGGATTAAGTAGTGCGGAGCCAACACACAAATACAAACACTGTGTGTTATGAATCTTCCACGACTTGCATATAATTTGCTTCTTGTATTGTCTGTCTTTTTTGGAGGGTTAATAATGTCAATCTATTATTCACTAACTGGAAATGTGATTTTACCAAACGTTCTGTTCTTGATTCCACAATGTACTAGTTAAAATAAAAAAAATAAAACACTCGCTTAATTACATAATGTAGGCCTATGCATCATGCCACGAAATTAACTTTTTAATTTTATGTGTTGACTAGGCATACTGCCTAGCTTCGCTTAGGTTTTCAAAAAAGTTGAGAAATTGAATGATTAATTAATAGGCGATTGGCTGTTATATTAAATGTCTAAATTTATACAGTGGGGTACTTTTTTAGTACCCATAAATTGATAGAATATTCGCAACTTATTACTCGCAAGGTTATTAGAACTGAAAGGGCTTTCATAAAAATTATCAATCAAATATTATATTAAATTACTTTTGCAATTAATTTTACAATTACAATACAATACAAAACTTAATTTATAACACAATATCCATTTAAAACAATGCTATACTTTATGATTTTTGTTTTTTCTTAAAAAGAGTATACAAAATATTAAAAAATTGTTACATTAAAAAGTTACCTCCCCTGCTCATAGACCAATTGACCAAATTTCGTATAATGAGAATTTCACTCGCAGTCATTTTTAGCCCTCTTCGAGGGCTTTAATGCTGACCAACAGGTTTTCCATACGGCCCATCTATCTATAGAGGTGTATGCAAAAAATTAGCCAGTTATACAAAGAGTAAGTACCCTAAAATTTGCGTAGAAATTACCCAGTTTTCCCCATAAAATACAAAGATTATATAGGGAAATACAACTGGTCAGTTTTGACCCCTTTACGAAGTTTTCCCAGATATGCCGAGTTTTTTGTGACACCCCTAGGTGTTCTTCTACCACCTCACAAAATATCAAGGGGGGTCGTCGGAGGAAAAAAAATTTCGTAATAGAGCTCATATAAAGAGAATTTCACTCGCGGTCACGTTTTAGCCCTCGTCGAGGGCTTTGAGTGTAACCGACAGTTTTCCCTAAAGGTCAAGCCATTTACCTAGGAGCATGCAAAAAATTAGCCAGATATACTGAGCTTAAGTACCCTAAAGTCTGCGTTGAAATGACCCTCTGTTTTTCCCATAAAATACAAAGATTATATAGGGAAATACAACTGGTCAGTTTTGACCGCTTTACGTAGTTTTCCCAGATATGCCGAGTTTTTTGTGACACCCCTAGGTGTTCTTCTACCACCTCACAAAATATCAAGGGGGGTCGTCGGAGGAAATTTTTTTTCGTAATAGAGCTCATATAAAGAGAATTTCACTCGCGGTCACTTTTTAGCCCTCGTCGAGGGCTTTGAGTGTAACCGACAGTTTTCCCTGAAGGTCAAGCCATTGACCTAGGAGCATGCAAAAAATTAGCCAGATATACTGAGCTTAAGTACCCTAAAGTCTGCGTTGAAATGACCCTCTGTTTTTCCCATAAAATACAAAGATTATATAGGGAAATACAACTGGTCAGTTTTGACCGCTTTACGAAGTTTTCCCAGATATGCCGAGTTTTTTGTGACACCCCTAGGTGTTCTTCTACAACCTCACAAAATATCAAGGGGGTCGTCGGAGGAATTTTTTTTTCGTAATATAGCTCATATAAAGAGAATTTCACTCGCGGTCACTTTTTAGCCCTCGTCGAGGGTTTTGAGTGTAACCGACAGTTTTCCCTAAAGGTCAAGCCATTGACCTAGGAGCATGCAAAAAATTAGCCAGATATACTGAGCTTAAGTACCCTAAAGTCTGCGTTGAAATGACCCTCTGTTTTTCCCATAAAATACAAAGATTATATAGGGAAATACAACTGGTCAGTTTTGACCGCTTTACGAAGTTTTCCCAGATATGCCG